ATTTTCTCGTACAACCCGATCACCAACAACAATAAAACAGCGTTTTGTATATAGAATGGCGTGAAAATCAGGTCCTCAGTTTACCTTAATTTTGAGTCATTTGAATCATTAAAAAATGTCTTATTTTGCTATTTTATCAGAAACATTGTTAGTTTATAAGTGTGCTAAAAATCGAGAAAAAATATGTTTACAGCGATACTTAGAGGGCGATACTAAAGTTTTCTAATGCGTCTGCATTTTGAGTGCGAATTTTTCAAAAATACTTTGTTTTGTCGTATTGGAGGAAACATTCCAACATATGCCAAAAAGCGAGTAAAATCAGCTCTAGAACGAATTTCCCCGTTCTAACCAAGCGAAGTTTCCTCAATCAAATGGCGCAAAGACAAAGTTTCCAGTTAATCCTCGTTTTGACTGCTAATTTTTTGCGAAAGATGTACAAAGTGCAAGAACGAGATCAGAGCTAACCGCTTGTCCCAAGGAAAGTGTGGGCAGCTACTTTTACGGGATTTACTGGCAAGAGAAAGGAAATAGAGCATCCAAACCATTTTTCCCTAAAATTCATATTTGCCGAAACTGAAACGAGAATCAGAGAGAAGGATGATCATATTAACAATCATATTTCCTCCCAGAAGAACAAACCAGTTAGCAGCACCTTTTTAACCCGAGAATAAAACATAGCGAGCAAATAAAATAAAATCCTAGTAGGGGCCTAAATGCGAGTAGGAAACACCTAAATCCGCTTCACTTTGCCATTTAACATGAAAAGCCGACATTGTTGAGGAAATCGTCAGGCACTTACATGGGTTACGAGATAATCCTGTTACGGCACATTAATAAACATTATATTTAACGATAATAGGTGAAAAAGGGTGCATAGATTATTTCAGAAAGGCGCCATTTCCGATAACCAGCGCCAGGTTAAGTTATCAGCGTCCATCGACACGTTTTCTATGCAAATCAGGCCATTTTCATGTTGAATTAGTTACATGATTAGAAAAAGTTCATTAGTTAGAAACTATTTGGCAACCCCCGTAATATTAAGTCATTATGACGTCCAGTTTCAATCACTCCCATTGGTGACCGATTGCGGTTGCCAGGCAACTAAAAAAGCATAGGCGGAAAAACGAAAATACCAGGGGCAATTGAAAAATGCTGGTTTGCTGCCAGTAAGAAAGACCCTCCAACTTCATTCGTAAATTATGGTTTAATTCTGTAGGTGAAATGGTGCTTGGGGTAAATTCGAGTTGACTTTTAGCGCCCTCTTGTTCAGCCATGTAAATAATGGCTTTAATTAGATCAGGTGGATAGTTTTTATCAGCCGCGTTCACTTCCTGGTGTGAACAGACTCCAGTCTGGGAACGTTATAAATAAATTAAAAATTAAAATAAACAGCGACCCTCAATGGGAATGCAATGCTAATGGAATTCCAGAAGCGCAGCAAAGATACAACGTAAAATCGCCAGATAATTTAACTAAACTAAAGGCGGCTGTCAGGAAAAAACTTTCTTTGCCATTTCTGTAAAAGTCGCATAGCTGAACGTATATGGGGCCCACAGCAGATTAAAGCGAACGGTTATAGTAGAACAGAACACATGAAAAATCAAATTTAAATTCTGGTATGCTTTTTATTAGGTTCTCAACTGCTTCATTTCAGTTTTTCAGACGTGCGGATTTTTCCGCGAACCCACTGCAGGCATACCAGGTATGCATTTCGGAATTCCAACAACATAAATTGACTTATCTAATGGCGAATTGTAAATATGAAGATGTTACAACAACTTTCAGGCAAACTCCACAGGATGAAACGTGATAAAACTAGCCGATGTTATCTTCACGAATGCGTTTTGTTTGCTTCTTTAATTGATTAATATTCCGTATGTTTTGCTGCGTTTTTTCAACTAATTGCGTCTGAACCAAGAACAGTTTGATGCAGCTTTT